GGTCTACATGTCTGTTTTTGTGCCAGTACCATGCTGTCTTGGTGATCACAGCTTTGTAGTAAAGCTTGAAATCAGGCAACGTGATGACCCCAGCTTTGTTTTTCTTTTTCAACATTTCCTTAGTGATTCGGGGTCTGGTTCCATACAAATTTTAGGATTTTGAAAAATGCTGGTGGAATTTTGATTGGGATAGCATTGAAAGTGTAGATTGCTCTGCGTAGTATAAACATTTTAACAATGTTTATAAGATCTATAAGGAACTCCTCAAACCCAACACTCAAAAAAAAGATAGTCATATCAAAAAATGGGCAGAAGACATAAATAGACACCTCTTCAAAGAGGACAAATGGCACAAATGTTCATCATTGTTAGCCATCAGGGAAATTCAAATCAAAATCACATTGAGATACCACCTTACACCAGTTAGAATGGCCAAATTAACAAGACAGTAAACAACAAGTGTTGGAGAGGTTGTAGAAAAAGGGGAACCTTCTTACACTGTTGGTGGGAATGCAACTTGGTGCAGCCACTTTGGAAAACAGTGTGGAGATTCCTCAAAAAATTAAATATAGAGCTACCCTATGACCCTGCAATTACACTACTAGGTATTTACCCCAAAGATACAGATGTAGTGAAAATAAGGGCCGTCTGTACCCCAATGTTTATAGCAGCAATGGCCACAATCACCAAACTGTGAAAAGAGTCAAGATGCCCTTCAACAGATGAATGGATAAAGAAGATAGGGTCCATAAATACAATGGAATATTACATAGTCATCAAAAAGGATGACTATCCAACTTTTGTATCAACATGGACAGGACTGGAAGAGATTATGCTGAGTGAAATAAGTCAAGCAGAGAAAGTCAATTATCATATGGTTTCACTTACTTGTGGAGCATAGGAATAACATGGAGAACACTGGGAGATGGAGAAGAGAAGTGAGATGGGGGAAATCAGAGGGGGAGAAGAAGCATGAGAGACTGTGGACTCTGAGAAACAAACTGAGGGTTTTGGAGGGAAGGGGATGGAGGATGGGTGAGCCTGGTGGTGGGTATTAAGGAGGGCACGTATTGCATGGAGGACTGGCTGTGGTGCATAAACAATGAATCTTGGAACACTGAAAAAATAATTAAAAAAAAAAAAACAGCAAAAAAAAAAAAAGCAGGTCATGCTATCTATCTTCACTTTCAAGTGAGATGACTAAAGTACAGAAACTTTAAGTGATCTGCAGGATTTAGTAGAGAATGTCATAATCATAAAGCTGGATTTGAACCCAAATCACTCTAAATCTACAAATGGCCCTGTTTACCACTGCAGGATACTCCCTCTTAAGGGTGAAATCTCAACTCCTTATAGTGACATCCGAGGATACAGGCTCATAGCCTCAAAACAGCTTTCTGAACCTATTGTCTATGAACTACCCAGAGAGATCTCACTCTAATACCCTCATCCCATTAAATATCCAACAAACAAACAAACAAACAAAAAATATCCAACAAACATATTTTGCAAAATCTTCATTTTCTCCATCTGGAAATCTTGCTTTCCACTACCACTGTAACCATTGTAGTGGATAGAAATCTCTACCTTCTCTTTAAAATAACAACAGCTAACGTTTATATCAATTACTTATCCCTTATTGGATGAAATTCTCACATTGATGGTTAATTTTCAGTGAGTTTCTATCTTCATTTTTCAATCAGATTGTACGTAACCTTAGGACAGCGACAATGTCTTCAACTTCTTTGGGTGTTCCATGCCATGGCTTACTGCCCTGAATGACAATTTTCTATGTATATATCTGGCTACCTCAATAACTGACCATTTCTTATTCACCTTTCTATATTTAGTGTCTGGCATGCTATTTGCTACACGAATAGGTTCAGTGACTATTTGGTGAAGAAACAAAATAATGTGTGAATACATGAAGTAATATAGTCACATGCTCAGTGCCTACTGGATTTCAGTAATTGCTAGTTATTGTTGTAATTCTCCAAATTCTGCTAGAAAATAGAAAATAATCTACTTTAAAACCTGCTTAAATAAAAGCCTCCAAAAGTATGATAACATAAATGCATAAAACACAAATGTATAGCATGCACTTAAATAACCTATTGTTAGGGTCACTGGTCCTATGTGTAGTTTCACTTGCCAAACATTATCTTATATATCACATTATCAAATCCTACTTGGGGAATCTAAATGTTTATTTATTGGGGCACGTGGGTGGCTTAGTCAGTTAAGCGTCTGCTGCTAGATCTCAGCTCAGATCTTGATCTCAGAGTCATGATTTCAAGCCCCATGTTGGGCTGCACGCTAGGTGTGGAGTCTATTTTTAAAATAAGATAAAGTAATTTATGAACAATAGATTTTTACACTATTTGGCAAATCTGGAAGACTATTTACATGATATCACTATTAAAAGTAATGAAATATAAAAGAAAAACTGGTACCATCTACAAAACCCTCATTGCTTCACACCAAGACAGTTATGTATGCTGAGGATACCACCCTCATCATGACGTGTGTAAGGTATGTTCTAATAATTACTTTCTCCCTGTCATACTTTGGTCACTATGACAAATACTAATGGCACAAGATCAGGCACAGGAATACAGTTGAATAATTATGATACCATTATAATTAATTATAACAAATGCAAGATGTTTTCAATTACCAAGTGTATGGTCTGAGTTCTCCCCTCAAAATTCACATGTTAAAATCATAATACCCAGTACCTCAGAATATGGCCATATTTGGAGATAGGGTCTTTAGAGATGTAAGTAAGGTAAAATAAGTCATTAGGATGGGCCCTAATCCAAGATGACTGGTGTCCTTATAAGAACAAATTAGGACACTGGCACAGAAGAAAGGCCATGTGAATATGTAGGAAGAAGATGGCATCGAGGAGCCAAGGAGAGGCCTCACAAGAAATCAAATTTGCCAACATCTTGATCTCAGTCTTCTGGTATCCAAAACTGAGAAAATGAATTTCTGTTGTCTAAGCCGCCCACTCTGTGGAACTGTGTTCCAGCTCATCTAGCAAACTAATACACCAGGTACTTTCTCATTTCTTAATTCATTCAAATCTCATTTAGTACTCAAAACAATTATATATGGTAACAGTAACCCCTTTTTATGGGAAAGGAAACTAAAGTTTCAGGGAAGTTAAATGGCATCTCTGCTTATCCTGTGAGCACGCACCAGGATGCAGGATTCAGACTGAAATCTTGTGATCCCAAATCCTGCCCACTTGCTACTCTGAGCAGGTGATGGACTAGAGGACCCCTGGGCTTTGGTCCCAGCAATGCCCTAAAGGAGTTGTGGGGACCCTCAGAGTCATAACTTTTTATCATCTTTGTTTTTTTCTCTGCACAGTTGAGGAGGTTGAGTTGAATATTCTACAGGCTGAATAGACTAAGGGCTCACATAAAAGCGTTCCCAGTTTTAAAGTTTAGCTCAAATCACTGTCTTCCAAAACTTTTTTTTTTTTTTTAAGATTTATTTATTGACTTGAGAGAGAAAGAGCACGTGCACAGACAGAGGGAGAGGGAGAGAGAGAATCACCAGCAGACCCCTGCTGAGTGTGCAGCCCCACGTAGGGCTCATCCCACAGCCCTGAGTTCACGATCTGAGCAGAAATCAAGAGTCAGAAGCTCAACCGACTGAGCCAACCAGTCTTCAGTCAAACTTCTGAAGAAATTACCTCTATAAACTCAGAAGTGAAAGAAAATTCAGTATTTGGGGAATCACTATTTTGCCCATGGGAATTTTGGCTTTATAAAAATATATATACACTTGAAAATGTTTTGAAATATTATGATCTTAACCCATTTTAAAAAGTTATTTTATAGGGTTTGTATCTCATTAGTTAATTTTCTATTGCTAAAGATTTACCCATTCTGAGCTTTAAGGATTGTATATGGCTTCATCAACAAAACTCAGGATTGAAATTTTTTATAGGAAATCAGTCTTGGGCGCCTGGGTGGCTCAGTGGGTTAAGCCTCTGCCTTCAGCTCCGGTCATGATCCCAGAGTCCTGGAATCGAGTCCCGCATCAGGCTCTCTGCTCAGCAGGGAGCCTGCTTCCCTCTCTCTCTCTCTCTCTCTCTCTGCCTGCCTCTGCCTACTTGTGATCTCTATCTGTCAAAGAAATAAATAAAATCTTAAAAAAAAAAAAAAGACAGTCTTAAAATCTTTAGTGAATGACTGTGTAATCTTGAGTGAAAAAAACTAGTTGCAGACCTTAGTTTCTAGGTCTGAAAAATGAGGTAAATGGCTTTCTGCGTGCCTCACAGGAAAGTTTGCAGTTAAATGAGAGAATACCTGTGAATTACTTTTGAACTTTTCTGAGTGAAATTGCTGCTTAGATTCAACTACAATGTAATTAATAAAAACCCATAGTATTAGGTTTCTTTTTTTCAGTAACTTCCTCAACTTTGAAATACTTTGTGATTACTTGATTTGTAATTTCTTCACTGCCATTGTGAATATACATTTTGTTTTCCAGGAAGAGGAAGTGTAGGGTGGAAAATAATTTGTACTACAATGGAGGGTAGCAGGTCAAAGACTGGCGGAATTAAGAATTGTGAATCATCATTAGTGTGTTCTCAACTACGTAAGGGCAATCTGCCCAAGGGGGAGGGGGAAAAAAAATCTACAAACCACACACTCCATCCAATCATGTAAAGACAAATCAGCCTTCAGGCAAATCAAATGTCTTCATTTAAAGTTTACCTGGATTTGGCACTCTGCCCATCTTTTCCAAATCTCTTAACAATATACTTTCACAAACAGTTAAAAATATGCATACTGAAAAACATATCCTTTGCACTGTTATTTTTAAAAACATGGAACTCTATAGCCCAGGGAAGATCATCGCTGGGGAAAAGGAAAGTTCCTTTCTGGGTTTGCAACATGTAAATACGGGATCAGTGGGTGGGACTGAGGTGTGCTCCACACATAAATAGAAGCTCAAAGGGAGCCAGCACACCAGGAGGCTCGGACAGCACAGAGGCGGCTGGCTCACACCAACAGGTGGGTGGGGAAACCAGGTAAGACTCCTGACAAGACTGTCCTGCAGGGCACTCGCTCTGATTACGTCGTAAAGTTGCAGGAATCCAAGGAGAGAGTTCCCAGGGACTTGGACGGGGAATAATGGACTTTCCATCCAAGGCTTACTGGGGCCTCTCTTTGGGCAGAGCTGGTAGAGGGCTGCATTCCTGAGCTGTTTCAAGGTAATGCTTTCTCCCTCTAGAAACAAGGGGTTTAGGGTCAGGTGAGCTCTAACGGCGTTCAGGCCTGGGACAGGGCCCAGCGTCCTCTGCTACTGTGCACTGGTCACCATCTAATTCTCTGCCTCTCACCCACGGCTGGAGCACAGATTCATGGGCCTGGCAAACCTCAGCTTAGACTGCCCGCTGGGAACTGCATTTCACGATTATCACTGCACCTCAGGAAACACAGTTCTGTCTCTCCATCTGCCGTGAAGATATTCTTGTTGCATTTGCAGTCTTGAAATTCAAGGCATGGGATCTAAGAGGAGAGATCTGGCTGCTTTCTGGGAGCATTTATGAGCAGGGACACTGAAACCTTCTGCAGGTTCATTCCCTGCTAAAGATAAGAAGACAGACGTACAGTGACCAGTAAAAAGGGCTGGTTCCATAGAGTGTGTGTGTGCGCGCGCACACACGTGTGCATCCAAATTCTCTCTCTCCCAGTTAGCGTTCTGTTTTGAGGTGGTTCAGGCAGGACCCTTGCAGAGCAGAGTCTACTTACTATGAGAACCCAATAGAATGAATCTCAGAAAGTGAGGCCACAGCAGTGTGTTTATACAGCAGGAGCGACAATAGGCTTCAGTGAGTCATCCTGCAGAAACACAGGCATTAAGTGCATCTTCCAACCGCTGAGCTACAGGACTGTGACAAGGGAGCACGCCGCAAGAACTCTCCAGGAGCCGCACAGATCAAATGTTTCACCCCCGAGTCACGGTTTTTTTCCTAACATAAAGAGAGGCAATTGCTATATATAAAAGACAAAAAGCAAATGTTTGTTGATAAATTCCAATGAGTTATTTGCCAGTTATAGGTTATAGGTCATAGGTTTCTGAATCAACTCATATTTTGAAAGTACAATTAGGCTCACATCAAAGTTCCTGGTGTGTGTGTGTGTGTGTGTGTGTGTGTGTGTTTCTCTTCTATATGAAAAAGAAGTCTTTGTACTAAGAAGGCTGGGAATTGCTGACCTATAGTACACATTCTTATCCGAGTAGAAAATGAAGCAAGTGTATCTTTGCTTTTTGTTTAGGTCTTCTTTCGAGTAAGACATTTTGTGGCCACATAGTATGATTGGGAAATATGATAATTGGTCAGGTAAAGCCAAGGCATCATCGGAATTTGGTAGCTTCAAATTTTTTTTTTTAATTTTCTTTTTTTTTAAAAAAAGAGCAAACGCTCAGCAAAAATTCCCACTCAAGCTATCAGAACGTGAGAAGCTTTCCCACCTTGAAAAACCAAGCACTGATAGTCCATCTTGCTTCCTTTGCACTTTGCTGAGGCCTACACCCATGTTAGTGAGGTTTTTGTGAAGCGAGTTCAGTCTTTGTCTTTCCTGGAATCCCACCTCTAATCATGCACGCGATGGGTAACTGTAGTGATCTGCTAGTGCAACTCTCTTTACTAGTTAGCAACTCCCTCGCTCACTCATCGACCTTAACTAACCGTTCCCTTTCCTGTTTATGGGCATCTGCTTTGTAGTGCTGTAACTTTCCTGAAGAATTAACTGAAATACTGGAAGGGAAAAAAAAAATTAACAAGGAGACACACAGGGGTTGGTTTCTCTGTCTTATAAGCCCCATAGAATATTTTTGTGCCCAAAAACCCATGCCCACCATCACCTACTGATACAGGCCCATGGAGAGAGTCAAAGAATTGTTTCAGTAGAATAAAATTGCGTGGACATATTTTTGTCACCTCAGAACTAATAAATGGAATTTGAGTGAATGTTACACGAGGGAGAGAGTTAGTTGGGCCTAAGTTTTCAGTTATGTGACAAAGTTGGCAGCTTTGAGTTATATAAGGATTCTCTTTACTTAGATCTTATTCTTTAATGGCAACGGCCCCATTTTCACAGAAGGCTAAAGAAGTACGTATGTTGAGGGTGATTGTTTCAGGATGGGGAAAACAGGAGCCAGCACTGCAAAATGGCAAGATGCAGAGGACTTGGTTCTCTACCCATCTCATGAGGCTTCATCTCCCTGAATTTCAGACTCTTCATCCATAAAATGAGGTGTGGGGAGTGGGAATGGAGGAGGCAGCCCCAAGGTGCCTTCCAGTGATAAAATTTTTAAAATATAAAATTTAAATGTAAATTCCCTTAAATGTAAGAGTGTATACATCTATTTTCCTAAAATACATCTATATACCTATTTCTATACTGTAGGTTTCTGTGGAGAGCTCCCTCAATATATTTATATCTATGTGGGTCTGTATATGTTGATGGATCCAAAAGTAGATAGATACTCACACTAGCATTCTTAGGAAAGGTCTGTGGAAGGGAGTTTTTCACACCAGCTGCATGTTTTCCGTCTCAGCTAAACGTCAGTTCCTTTGTATCCCAGGGTCATGATACACTCTGAAGACTGAGAAGGCTCCTAATTCCCTTTTGTTTCATTGTCATTTTCCTTGTTTTCCGTATCAGATTTGCCATGGAGAAGATCTCGGTGTCAGCATTCCTGCTCCTTGTCGCCCTCTCTTCCACTCTGGCCAAAGATATCACAGCCAAATCAGGAGCTAAGAAAGACACCAAGGACTCTGGACCCAAACTGCCCCAGACCCTCTCCAGAGGTAGGAGTCCGCTTCCGGTCGGCTTTCAGTGCCTTCATTGAGAACCTGAGGCTTGGGTGCCAAAAATAGTTTTGAACTAAATTTATCAAAGTTGATCATTGTTTCCACTTTTTTTAGAGGGTTTTGCATCTGATTGGTATTCAGTATATATTTATTCCAGGCTTTACCACTGCTTTTCAACAGCTTTAGTCAGAAATTATAATAGTTTTAAATACACCCGTTCCTTTTGCTCTAGGTTGGGGTGATCAACTCATCTGGACTCAGACTTATGAAGAAGCTTTGTACAAATCCAAGACAAGGTAAAGATACAGGTTACAGAGTTCTCTCCAAGCTCACATGAGCACCCTCTAGTGGCACGTCGCTATACAAGAAATCTTGCTCGTTAAAAATGACCCAATCTTTCTTTGTCTCTTACAGCAACAAACCCATAATGATTATTCATCACTTGGATGAATGCCCACACAGTCAAGGTAATTTATTCTTCTAAATATAATTTCCTTTATCGGCTTTTAGCTTTAGGGACAAGGCTCAGGTCACTTATCTTTTTATCCTTAGCATCTGGCACAGTTAAATAAAACAGTTATCTTCATGTAAGAAAAACATATTTTAAAGTAACTTCAAATATTTCCATACTTTGTGCTAACCACTGGTGCATTTTGAAGGGAAAAAAAAAAAAGCAAACTCTAGGATTCATCCTGACTTCTTGCTTTCTCTTGTAACCCATATCTACTACATCAGCAAACACCACTGCTTTACCTCCCAAATATACCCAGAAGCCAGCCCCAGCTTGAAGGATGTGCAAACTGTGCGTTCACACAAGGCGGGAGGCCTGGAAGTTTTCTGTGCTGGATTTAAATCTCTGGTTGTTGCTGTCTTAAAATTTGTAGAATTTTTTAATAAGGGGCTCCATAATTGTGGGGGTTTTTTTAAAGATTTTATTCATTTGACAGAGATCACAAGTAGGCAGAGAGGCAGGCAGAGAGAGAGAGAGAGGGAAGCAGACTTCCTGCTGAGCAGAAAGCCCCATGTAGGGCTTGATCCCAGGACCCTGGAATCATGACCTGAGCTGAAAGCAGAGGGTTTAACCCACTGAGCCACCCAGGCACCCCATAATTGTGTTTTGTCCTGGGATCCATGTATCGTGTAGGTCCTGCCCGAATCCAGCCACTTCTTACTGACTCCTTTCTACTTCCCTGATCCAAGCCAAGATTCCATCTGGTCAGAATACTGTATCAGCCACCTAACTAATCAGCCCACACTCAGCTCTCCACACTGAAGCCAGACTGAGGCTGTTAAACATAAATCAGACCCTTTCGCTCATGTGTTCAAGTGGCTTCTTATCACAAGTAAACGAAATCTGAATTCCTGATCATGGCCTGCAAGGCTGGACATAATCTGGCCCCTGGCTATCTTTGCTTTCCTTCCTATACTGCCCTTGTGTTTTCTCTACTCCCTCTAGCCTGGCCTTTGGGCAGTTTCCTCTAAGCTCATTTCTGCCTCGGACCACTGCTCCTGCGGCCTCCTCTGCCCAGCATGACAGAACCCCAAAATCTTCGAATGGCTCATTCTCTCCTTTGATGTCACCTCCTGGGAGAGCTCTGCCTTGAACAGTCTAGAGCTCTTAAACCCCTTGCCTTGCTTTATTTTTCTTCGAAGTACATATCTCCAACTGAAGTTATTAGATAATGTATTTGTTTATTTATTTTTGGTCTGTTTCCCACAGAAGCATTTGAACTCTAGGAAGACAACACATTACTTTTCTTTCTTCTTCTTCTTCTTCTTCTTTTTTTTTTTTTTTCATAAAACAGTTTGTACTGCATGACAAGCAATAAATATAGGTTGGGGGAAAAAATGGATGAATGAATGAATGGATGAATGAATGAATGAGTGAATGGCAAGCATCAAAGGTAGCGAATGGCCTAGATATTACTTCACTAATTGTTTGCTAAAAAAGCAAAGTTGGATATTATACTGAAAATACAGTTCAGCTTAAGATATAACAGAGAACAATGGTTTCAACCAGCGATGAGATGGATATTTACTGATTCTTTGGTCTATTCTAGCTTTAAAGAAAGTGTTTGCTGAAAATAAAGAAATCCAGAAATTGGCAGAGCAGTTTGTCCTCCTCAATCTAGTTGTAAGTTCAGTTTTCGTCATCACAGACATTTCTCCGTGGCTCATTATGTGAAATGGATGATTCAGGTTTCCTATGCATGTTAGTCATACTGCACTGACTGGGGGCTGTTCCGGAGAGCTCATTTCACAGATGACAGAGAAAAAAAAGAGATATTTTGCTAATAATCTATCTTGCATGGCTGTGCTTTTATTCAGTAATTAACAATTTCAGGCTGTCTGAAAAACACGCTCTTGTGGTCAGGATTTTCTCTGTTGCTGTAAAAATGTAAGGCTCTCTGTGCAGATCTCTTCCTGTGCCCTCTTCCCTGCAGTCCTGATGCTCTGCCCCCCTTCTTAGTTCTCAGCTCTTCTCTCTGGAGAGTGACAGGTCCCCAGCTGTCTAAAGCTCTCATCCCCACCTTACTTTGCCATCAACACCCTTGCTGTTGGCCAAGCTTTCAGTCCACTCGGTCTTTCTATTCAGATGCAAACAGTTCCACCTTCCTTCCAAAGGGAAACAAGTAACAATAAACAACTCACAAAACCACTCTCCCTAACCCTAGGTCCTCTCCCGCCCTCCCTCCCCCTTTCCACCCACTTTCACCCTCCCTCTCACTCTCTCTCCCTCCCTCCCCCTTCGCAAGCTGACAAATCTGGCTTCTTCAAAGAACATTCACATCAGTCATTCTTCCTCACCCTCCTTCCAGAGGCTTCTCCTCCTCTTTCTACCTTTTAATATCAGTGACTTGGTGAATCTCTGCCCGCTTCTCTTCCTAATATTTTATATGCTATTTACTGTTTTATATTCTTTGTGGACAGCTTCATCGACATCTGCCTTTAATCAATGCCCACGCACTGGTAATTGCCAAATCTTACCCAAACACGCAACAATTTCCAACTTGTGTGTGCAATCGTGGTCCACATTTTGCATTATTAGCTTAAACTCAACGTGCTCAGTGCTGAATTTATCAGCTTGGTGTGGGATTTTCCACAGCTCTTCTTTCATTAGTCCGTGTTTCACTGAAAGTTTCATTCGAGATTCCATTCTTACTCCCCTCCAGCAGTCAAGAAACCCTGTCGTTCTAACTTCTAAATATTTTCGCTGTAGGTCACTTCCCTATAAAGTGAGGACCACTGTTTAGTGTAAGAATTTCTCCCTCTGCTTAGGTCACTACAGTATTACTAAATGGCTCCCTGCCTACAAAATAAATCCTAGCTAATCCCACATAGCCTTCAGGATAATGACTCTCAAAACCAAACTGGGATCATGGTACTTCTAAATCCCTCCAGGGGTTCTGATCTATTTATGAACACAGGCAAAAACTGGCATGGTGTGCAAGACCTCTCATGAGCCAACCCCAAAGGAGCTCTCTAGCATCTTCTCTCACCACTGCCTCCTGTGTCCTCTGTATTTCAATCCTCCCAAAACACACAGTCCTACCAGAAAGTGCTGTGCCTTCCCTCTACCTTTGGACAAACTCTTCCCACTGCCTGGAGTAAACTTGTGTTCCATGTACCTGACTCCTACTCATTTATTTATTTTTAATTTTACTTATTTATTTGTTAGAATGAGAGACAGCACCGTCAGGCAGAGTGGCAGGCAGAGGGAGAACAGGCTCCCTGTGGAGCAAGGAGCCCAATGCAGGACTCAATCCCAGGACACTGGGATCTTGACCTGAGCCAAAGGCAGCCCTGCTCAACCAACTGAGCCACCCAGGTGTCCTGTCCTATTTATTTTTTTTTAAACACTTCTCCCTCCCTAAGTCTTAGTCCAACTTGTGTACAGGGTTAAATGCCCTGCTTTGGTCACCCACCGCACCTGCACGGCCTCCATATTACCACACCAAGTGGATCCTCGGTATTCATTTTCCTACCTGTGTCCCTCAGCTGACCGGTGTTCCTTAAAGATGAGTGCCTCAGACAAGCCTGTTTGTTTCTGTGATTTTCCAAAACTGACCTGTTTTTTTCACTACTCTATTTCCCCCTATCTCTCTCATCCAAGATGTCTTCCCCACATACTGGAACTCCCTCTATATTCTCCCTTCTTGAATTTTTTTGCTCTTTATCATGTTCCTTCAGCTCTCTACCTCAGGTTCCGCATTGCATTTGGCTCTATCTTATTTATTATTTCATGTAACTCACCTCCTCATCTGTATTATCAACTCTCTGGGGAAGAGAGATGCCTTACAGTATCTCAAGACGCCTCCCCCAGTAGAAGACACATTTCTGTATTAACAAGTTTGACAGTACCTGAAGAACAGACAAGCTAAACTGTCTTTTCTTTTAATCTTAGTATGAAACAACTGACAAACACCTTTCTCCTGATGGCCAATATGTCCCCAGGATCATGTTTATTGGTAAGTAAAAATGACAATGAGATTAAGCACACTGATAATTGCCCAAGCCCTTTGCTATCTCTTCCTCAGAGTCTCCCTCCCTCATCTGCCACTCCATCACGGCCAGTGTCACTGGCCCACCCTAGCAAGGGGTGTAACATTCCCTTACGTTTCTCAACATTTCTTCATTACAAAGTTCAAGCTTCTATCTATTTCCTCATTTGTTTCTCATCTGCACATGTAAACTTATCATGTCCCATCACAAGTATATCGGAGAGGGAAGCACCCTGCTAACTTTTAAATGTATTGCCTGTTTTCCTGAGAACATCAGGCTGGTAAATTCTTTTTCATCAGGAGAACTTCCAATTGGTATGCTGGATTTTTCTTTCTGACATTTTTTGGTAATTATTTCTGGGCAAGTTAGGAATATGGCTGCCAGAAAAGAAATCAGAGGAGCCATGCTCCTTCCAGCCGCTGGTACTTTTCACATCTTGTTCCCTCTGCTGGAAAGCTTTTCCTGCTTCCCCCATGCACCTAGTCATCACAGTCGCTCACTGACCTGGCACAACTAACACTTTGTGCCCATGTGGCACCATGCTCCTCTCAGCAGTCATTCTTCCCTCAGTTATAATTTTGCATTTATGGGGTGATTGTGTTTGTTTGTTTGTTTAAGATTTTATTTATTTATTTGTCAGAGAGAGAGAGATCGTGCAGAAGCAGGCAGAGTGGCAGGCAGAGGCAGAGAGAGAAGCAGGCTCCCCACTGAGCAAGAAGCCTGATGTGGGACTCGATCCCAGGACCCTAGGATCATGACCTGAGCTGAAGGCAATGGCTTAACCCACTGAGCCACTCAGGCATCCCGGGGGTGATTGTTTAGTATCTATTTTCCCCTGTAGGACTACAGCTCTTGTGGCTGGGGTTGTGTGGGTTTCTTCTGACCATCATATTTTCAGCATGACGCTCTTGTAGGCTGGCAATAAATATTTGTTAAATGACTGGACACATGAATTCAGATTGGCTTTGAGCCAAGTCATACTGATTTAAGAACAACGCATAAATAAATCCATCACACGGCAGAACTCGCACTGATCAAGTGGTTTGGGGCTGGGATCCAGCCAAGTCCACACTAAATGCACAGGACAGGGGAGAGGAACACGTGAAGGAGCGAAAAGCAGGAAGGCTGAACTCGAGCTAATTTTACACACTCAGTTGTGTGAGGATTTAGAAAATCTAGAACGTTTAAATTGGGACTTTATGGGTCATCTTGTGACACTTTGTGCTAGAGTTCTTTTTATAGTATTTATTCCTGTCTAAGGGCATTGTAACCCACATTCCATGCCTTCCAAAAGAACCAACTACAGCTCAGGAGCATGGACACCGGCTACAGATTAGAATCACCTGGAAGATTTTAGAAAAACAAGCTGCTGGGCCACACCTCAAACCAATTAAATCAGAATCCTGCCGGGAATGGGAGGCAGGAGGTATTTCTTGAAGCTCTTCAGGTGGTTCAGGGGGCAGCTTTGTGAGTCTAGGGTTGGGTGTTTCAAAAGCTTTTCTTATGTTAATTTATCACAAAGAGTAGACCGTGTGTTTGTATCCTCTGCACTAGCAGAGGTATAATAGGTTTTAAGTCTTTGTTGAACAAATAAATGTCTGCTTCTTGTCATTAACATCAGTGGGACCCATTCCAACATTCTGAAATGACAGATCATCCGCTTAAGTACCAGGGCCAGACTGTGCACACAGCCAACTGGGTCTCACGTGCCTCCTCCATCTGATTTTCAGGACATGCTCTTTGGGCCTTTTCAAACCTCTCTGACAAGAGGTTTCTAGGCCTGCGTAAATCCTAGTACCTCCCTTGTCGATATGCCTTATTTTAAAAATGCCTTCTTTTCCCATGAGTGGATAAGTTCAAAATAAATATAAAACACGGAAAAATGGATTTAAAGCTCTAAGGACTATCATAGGTATGCATAAAGGAAGACTCCTAAATCTTTGTTTTTTAAATACAGCTAGATCACAAAAAAGTAAAAAACAGAGAGGGGCCCTACATGCTTATTTGAACTTTGCTGCCATTAATGGTTTGCATTATTTTATTCATTAAAAACAACCTTTTATTTCAAGAACTAGCATTGGAAGTCAGTTTCTAATTAGCTAGGTTGCTCCTGGTAACAGGCTATGATTACAACATAAGCATTTCAAAAGTTCAAAATGCCTTAGTATAGAATGCCAGGGTTTTCACCAAAGCACCCAACATCCCCCTGCCAGTATGTCTTCTTCTGTTTTCAGGTTGCTATAGATAGAATAGCATAATAGTTCATAACCTTGGCTACAAATAGCATTGTGCAGCTGTCGGGGGCTCTGGGCCCTGCTCTGGGGACTGGCAGCCACAGGCTGGGTTGCCAAGTAGATGGACTAGACCTTCATGAGGGGGATCACACGCTGTGTTCCTCTCATTGGCCATGGACAAGTACGTGGGCTTCCTCGCGCAACAGAGCTTCCTTGGAAACATTGATTCCATTCCCATTTGCTTTTTCATTGTAGACCCATCCCTGACAGTTAGAGCTGACATCACTGGAAGATACTCAAATCGTCTCTACGCTTATGAACCTTCAGATACAGCTCTATGTAAGTGTCACCTCCTGTGAACGTGTCTTGCTGTTGCACTTACAGTCCACTTATATGTTGAGGAGGGAGGAAGCTGGGCTCAGACATGCAGAGAATCAGTGTGACCCTAACTAGCCTTGTGCCCTCAGGCAAATCATATTCACTTTGGTCTCATTTATTTAAGTGAATAATTTATGAAAGAGTCTTTTGATTGGGTATCTTTTTCTCTGGGAGGATTCTACAGCCGTATTACGTGCTTCTCAAGGTTTCCTCAGGCACCCTGTCATAAAGAGTCCTACGACAGAATCAAGTGCAATACAGTAACTGTCCTATTACACGAGTAATAGGAATCTTCAGGCCTTCAATATTTTTTCCAAATAATGAAAGTAAAATGATATGGTCCATTTGGTGCTGCTGAGTTTAAGTTCAATTTTAAAGATCAGTAGGAAAGATGGTTCCCAGGAGTTGGCAAGATACTCACTATCCCCGGAGTTGCCATAAAATGGAAAGGAATAAAGTTAAACTCAGAGCAGACAGAGCACCTCAATAGGAGACTGTTCCTGTTGTGGTCACTAATGAGTCCTTCTGGGAAGACAATTGGGTTTGTCCTAAGAACCAATTCAGCTCAGTGACTAGGGCTGCCTGGAACTGTACTACCCAATATGTGAGCCATGAGCTCCATGTAGCTCTTTAACATCACATTAATTAAAATTTAAAATTCAATTCAGCAGGCACACTAACCACTGTTTAAGTTCTCAATGCACAGGCACTGAATATTTTTGTTCATCACAAAAATACCTGTTGAGTGGCGCGACTTCAAACAGTGTGCTGGGGAAGACTAGATGCTGCATCTGGGCAGCAGCAAAGATGTTCATGGTCCATTAGAAATGCCTCCAGTGGGTGTGGGGAGGACCAGGAAAGCACATTCCAAGTACTAGCCCTTCTCGAGATAATGGCCAGTCTTATTAAGAAATAAGACTTTGAGCTCCTTAAAAGCACGTATCTGGCACGGGTAATATCACAGTGCTTTGTAGAAAAGACATGTGAGAAATATTGGGAGAAAACTGGATTGTAGTAAAAGCCATGTCACATACTTTTAGAAAAAAATGTTTAACAAAATTACCAACAATACACCCTATCATGAAATAGCACCCCATTCAAAATGAATAAAGTACCCAAGTTTAGGGGTTTACTAGAGCTATTGGTATAATTCTGGTGACATCATGACCTTGGCAACTTTTTCCCTGTTAGTGCTCGACAACATGAAGAAAGCTCTCAAGCTGCTGAAGACTGAATTGTAGAGAAAAAACGTCGGCAAGCTTTTCCCTCTGTGTCTGGCCCTGAGACTTGGATCAAGAGGAGATCCTAGAAGACTCTGGAGAATGCAGGCACACTGATGGACATGCTGATTAGATTATGGTTATTGTTACAACAGATATTTTTTTAAAATCTGGTCTCAAGTACACCTGTATGAAAATAATATTGCATACTACATAGTATGCCATGCTTTTTTTAAAAAAAAAAATTAAATCCTTTTGAGGTATTCAGACTGTTGTTGTCACCCCTAACTTAGTCCTTCGGAGAAAAGCTATTTAGTTCATTCACCCAACAGGACTTCTGTACGCATGAAATGTTCAAAGAGGAGACAAAACACACTTAACTGGGGGTAAGGAAGTCCAAAGTCAAAGTAATCACTTCACTATAGAGTTTCTCAGTGGGTGACGAGAAGTAGGCATGAGCTTAGTCAACAGAAGTATCAAAACAGAAGATGTGTTAGTGCAAAAGAATGTGTAGAAAGGCACCCCAAGAAGATCAGGTACCTCCTTGGAGACAGCCCTTCCCACTCTGACCGGAAACTCCCAGGTATACACTTCACTTCAAGAATTCAATTTTAATTAGATTTTGCACAACTGAACCATCTCAGGGTAAGTCTCTACATATAGCTTTCTCTATCAGCCCTGATTTAGTGAAAAGGTCATTCAGAACATCTGTACCCATGAACATAGCCTAAAGAAATCCTAAAAATTCGCCTTACAGTACATTGGTCTCTCAAGATTTTAGAGCACTGTCCTGGGATAAATTTAGCTGAGTTGTTCCCCTCTTCACCAAAATGTGACTAGCTGGAAGAAGAGCAAAGAGTAATGATATCATGTCTACAGAGCAAAGGTCAGAGGTCACCACTTACCTTTGAAGTTGAGAGAGGTAGTGGCATCGAATAGGGGAGCAGCTTTTGCTACTTTCAACTCTTGATTCTGAATGACAAAAATTAGAACTGTTTATTAATTTCTTCACTACATATTTAATCTCACATTCATTGTCACATGGAATTGCTTTTTCACCCAGCCCCTGCTGACTTCTTTGGTCCACGAATGGCTGTGGTGGGCTGCACGATGCTTTGAGTATTGAGATATTGATTAGCTACTTCTTGTCTTGACAAACTTTTCTTTGGCATTATTATCTTTTCCAGGGCAGAATATACATTTTAAATTCTTTTCTCTTTCACAGTACTATCAAAAAGCTATGTACTAACTAATAGGTTCTGTGCACATATGGTTGATGTAATGACATACAAATCCTCAGTAAAAATATCCGCAGAGGGATTGGGCTCTCTTCTCACAAGTGGGTACATATGTTTAGAAAAGGTTAAATATCCTATTCAGAAAGTTCTCAGAGTTAATGAAGGGGAAAAAAGCGTTTTCACTTATATACATTTTTTAAAAGATTTTATTTATTTACTTGACAGAGAGAGATCACAAGTAGGCAGAGAGGCAGGCAGAGAGAGAGGGGAAGCAGCTCCCTGCTGAGCAGAGAGCCCGATGTGGGGCTCGATCCCAGGACCCTGAGATCATGACCTGAGCCAAAGGCAGAGACTTAACCCACTAAGCCACCCAGGTGTCCCAATATATACAAATATTTTGAATGACAGCTTCTAAGATGTTCAGGTTTCCTCTATAGTACAGCAAAAAATTGGCTTTTTTATTGGGCTGATAATAAGATTAAGTCCTTAAAATTTGTTGAATGACAAAATGTTATTTTAACAACATATATAATTTTTAAGATATAAATACGTCTCTGGGAAGTCAAATGTTAAGGTTGCAAGGAAGATGAATCTCCCTTAGAAAAGTGTTAAACAGAGTCGCAGTCTCCTCTACTTCTGAGAATTTGTCCTAATTCAAATCAGGAAATCATTCAAGAGAAACAAAGTTCTGTGAAGATGTCAATGGCAACATTATTTAAACATACTTAAAAGAAATGGCAACTATCAAATATAGTGGTTACATAGTGTTTTCACACAAAGCGCAGTCTGTTCTCATCTATAAACATAAACATTGTGAAGAAACAAAGAGTAAGTGAGCCAGAATGTAGGTATTTCTGTGCTGTAACTATAGCTCCGGGAAGTGTGTGCACACACCAGTTAGAATGAGAAATGAAGGTGCAAAGGGAGGAACTTCTGCTTGAAGCTTACGGAGTTATTAGCAAAGCACCTTTGTTCTTGTCATCTCACAATCTTTCCTTTGTGTTCAAATAAACTGAAGGGAAAGCATACCTTGACTATTTCTCCAACCACACAGAACTCGAAGAAAGCTGTAGGTCTAGAGAGCATTATTCCAAACCACTGAAGAAAAATGTTGGTAACACAGTGGGAATACAAAATGGTACAGCCGCTGTGGAAAGCAGTATGACTGTTGCTCAAGAACTTTAGCAATGAATTACCAGACAATCCAGGAATTCCACTTCTGAGCATGTGCCCAAAATCCCTGAAAGCAGGAAAACTCTATCCGTGCATTCACTTTCGTAGCAGCACGAATCACAAGAGCCAGGAGGCGAAAGCAACCCAAACTCCATCGCTCGCTGAGTGCATCAACAAAATATGGCGAACACCAACAATGGGACACTATTCAGCCCTTAAAAGAAAGGACATTTTGACACCTGCTACAATATGGATGAAGCTTGAAAACACTATGCTAAGTGAAAAAGGAACCAGTCACATAAGGACAAACGCTTTGTTTCCACTTACCTGAGGGATCTGGAAGAGTCAGATTCACAGACACACAGGAGAACGGTAGTTGTCAGGGGCTAACGGAAGAGAGGGAGGGGGAGAGGAGGAAGTGGAGGTGGGGGGGATTGTTTGCCAGGTGCATACTGTCAGCTTGGGAAGATGAAAAAGCTCATGGGGGATAATGGTTGGGCCACAATGTGAATGTACTTAATGACATTGTATTACACACTTAAAAATAGTTAAAATGATACATTTTATACTATGTGTATCTTACCACACTAAGAAAAGAATGTTTTATCGGTCCTATTGGAGGCCCCACAACTGAGGAGGGGAAAGGGTAATTTAGAAAAAAGTTGGTAACATAAATCATCTGTGAGTCATTTACATGATGAGCAACATGTCTGGTTAAACCATTTTCACCTGCTTGAGAACTGCCGTCCTCAAACGATCATCTACACTGTTTAGCTCTGCTCTGGGTTTTTGTGTGTTTCAGGCATTCAATAATCCTAAGTAGCTTCTTTTATCTCCTAAGGTCCTTATATTTAGCAGTCACTGGTGAGCACAGGAGTGGGGGAAGAATTAAAAAAAAAAAAAAAAGCTCTTAGGCAAGAACAGAGCTTCCTTCAGTTACTCATGAAGGAAGCGGACTTCAAAATCCAAGTAAAATGAGCCTCACTTATTTTAAAGATTTTTTTTATTTATTTATTTTACAGAGATCACAAGTAGTCAGAGAGACAGGCCGGCGGGGGGTGGGGGGAGGTTAGCAGGCTCCCTGCTGAGCAGAGAGCCCGATTCGGGGCTCGATCCCAGGACCCTGAGATCATGACCTGAGCCAAAGACAGAGGCTTAACCACTGAGCCACCCAGTTGCCCCAAATGAGCCTCGCTGCCTGGGTGGCTCAGTGGGTTGAGCCGCTGCCTTCGGCTCGGGTCGTGATCTCGGGGTCCTGGGATCGAGTCCCGCGTCGGGCTCTCTGCTTGGCGGGGAGCCTGCTTCCCTCTCTCTCTCTCTCTCTGCCTGCCTCTCTGTCTACTTGTGATCTCTCTCTGTAAAATAAATAAAATCTTAAAAAGAAAAAAAAAAAAAAGAAAAAAAAAAGACACTTGTCAAGTTGTGACCCCATAAAGCCAGATCCTGAAAGTAAGCAACGGTGGTTTCACCTTCCAAGTGATATCACAGTCCACTGTTTGCCATATAATCTAACTCCGGCAACTCCCACTCCCTCCCGCCCTCATTTGAGAATGAATTCCCAAAGCTGATTTTCGCGAGGAGAGTGGATGAGAAGTAGCTTGGCATATGGCAGAAGGTCTGATTTTCCTCCTTGCCCACTGTCTCAGGAGGTATGTTGATAACTACAATTACCCAGTCGTGATGGTGACAAACAGGAAGACCTCTCTTCTCTTTTCCCTCTCTCCCTCTCCCTGCGGTTCAGTGGAGAAATGGAGTAAAGGGCATGATTGGGTTGTTCCCTTAAAATTGTTTAGAAAACACTGACCAATAACACATACCATAACTGCATTTGGCATGAGTAGCCAGGTGTAAAATTAACCACCAGCCCCCAACATAACGAGTGCATAGCAACTTTACACAAATCCCTTCAACATTTCCACAAATCCAAAAAACTTGGTCTTAACTTTACTGCCAACTCTAATAAAACTGACATGTGAAAGATATTTGTACAATCATGATGCCTGAAAGTGTTCTTTCCTCCTATGAAATACTATGAAAAAAATTCCGTTCTAATTTCTTCAGTACCAGCTATACAATGAAATTGTTTCATAAATTTACTTGGTGCCTTTTCAAAGGGATGAATGAACTTAAACAGGGTTAAACAAATATTTAGAAAAATTGCAGGAGGTTTTGGCTTAAGGAAACTAAGAACTTGACACCCCACTTCTGGACGCTTTTCTCTCTCTGAAAGGTTGTACACAGCAGCAGAGGACCTAGGTTGAACACGCAGAACTGGTTTTCAGACCAAACTGGCTGTTTTGATCACGCGGTGTCTGAGATGAATTTATGCCCCATGAACTCTGGTTTTAGAAATTGCAGCCTAACATTTTCCCCTTGTATTTGCACTTTATTAACTCAAGTTTCACCCTTCACATCAAGGCTATGTTCTAAGAACCATTCCCCTAAATGGAATACGTAAGTAGGGAATAAGAGAAATTTTAAAAAACAAGTAGAGCTTCTTTCTTAAATAAATGCTAGGTGCGGAGATGCAGAGAGAGAGCTCTTGAGTATGCATTATGGATGCTTGTTGTAATTCAAGGACAGACTGCTCTGAAACACCCTCCTCTGATCCTATGTGTTTACCGGCAACATTTCTATGCACACAGGCAGCGGTGTTCCTGGAATCGTGGGATCAGCCCGACTTCCGCAGCCTCATTCGCAGCCACTGAGGAATCAGGATAGACCTAATCAAAGGCCTTTCCAGCAGGTTTATAATACACTGCAATGTGAGTTGTACGTCAGCACACAGGCACAAACCAAGATCGCAGGAGACCTCCCAGGA